GGCGGGAACGTGGACGGCCTGTCGGGAGAGGACCGTCCTGTATGCCACCAGGATCGGGGACGCGGCTGGAGGAGGCCAGGTTTGGGCGTCTGTGTGTGTGCCGCCTCTGCCCCTCCGGTCCCGGGCCCGTGTGGCCTTGGGGCTACAGAACCACCACTGTCACCTGTTACAGAATCGCAGCGCCTCAAAGCAGGATGGTTGCAAAAATATTATTCGAATGTGGACTGTCCGGTCCATAGGTCTCAAATGTCCTCCTTCCTCCGGGAAAGGGTGAAGGCCTGTGAGCATGTTCCCTTCTGCGTTAGGACCTCAAACCCCCTGGTGCTAGAGAAATCAAAAGAAAGAATCTTCCCCTCAGTGCTTGAATTGTGTTGTTAGAATTGGTGTTTAAGCTGCATTTCTGTGAGAAATAACAAAAGTTCCAGATGAGAGACCAAAATAGCATTCTTGGCATGAATGGCAAGTAATGCGCCCTTCTAGAACAGGGTAGACGAATTTAAAAACTTCAGATAATGTCTCATGATTAACAGAAAAGGGATTTTCACCTAAAAGTACGTCAGCCTTAAACTAAACCGTAATGGGTACATTTTGAGTGCATTATCTCTGAATGTTCATAGTGACTTTGGACTTCACTCACTCATTCATTTTTCTACTGCAATAATAGTTAAAGCTTATATCACAGCACAACCGAGGGAAGGAGTCAGTTTTCCCAAAAGAACCCGGAGTGTCATTCCCAGCATATATCTTATCGGACGATTAACTTGACAGAAATGAGCCCCTGGACAACCTACTTTAGACGGAAGATGAAGGGTGCATATGCACACACTTGGTTAGACTACACCAAGTGTGTGGGAGTGCTGGTCAAAGTATCATGGCTGCCCTGTTACTCTGAGCTCTCCATCCCTGGTTGGCTCACAAAGCATTTTCTTGATCATGTCAGGATGGCAGGAGAGGCCTAACTTCAGTGCCAATCTTTCACAGCTGCAGCAGGTCTAAGGTAATCCGAGTATCCCAGGACCCATGGAGTGACTGTGTTATTGCCTAGTACTGATGCTTTTGTATTATGTGTCAGATGTTGACGTTTTGCCACTCTGGGTCAGCAGTGATCCGAAATCCTTTTCTCTGTGGCTTTGGAGGCTGTCCTGGAACTAGCTCTTGTAGACCAGGCTGGTCTCGAACTCACAGAGATTAAAGGCATGCGCCACCACCGCCCGGCCCCAAATCCTTTTTCTAAATACAACTATAGAGTGGCCTAGTAGGAAGAAATGCTCTGGATAGGAGTACACCATTCATTCCATGGTGCATGGGCAAAATTTTGCAAGAAAAGTTCTAGCAAGAAATTAATGTGGTTCAGACCCATTAGCATTAGGAAAGACTTTGTTAATTTGTCAGATAAATAATGGCACTCACTCTGTACCCTAGTGGCCCATTGTCTTATTATTCCTGTTTCTTCCCTAATTTACTAATTCCCAATTCTGAGCGCTGCTACTGTTGCTGCACTGTTGTCTGTAGCTGTGCTCTTTGAAGCACCTCCAGTCAGACACTTCAAACTTATCGCCATCTTAGCATGCTGGCGTTTACAAGGGTCAGAATGCCACAAATTAAACTGTAGTGTTTGGTCTTCCAGAAGTCTCTGTATCAAAATAGACTGATTATTTACTACAAATCAAAACTATCAGGGAACCCCCTGGAATTGAATTTTAAAAAGTTAAGAATTGAACGAGTTGACTATGTCACCTACTCTTGTTCTTTCCAACCAAAAGCCCACAGCTCTAGTCATTAATATTTAGGAGTTAGGTCTACCCTCATATTTAGATCTTATAGTGAGTTCTGTTTATTGTTCCTTGACCAAAATATTTTTACATGACAGGTGTTTATATCTATCAGACACTAATACATGAATTTACTCTTGTCTTCAGTGTTAGGAATTCAAACTAAAGGTCTGTTCATGTTGTCCACTCTACTCTAAATGAGCATACTAGGTCTCCAAACATCTGGCAAAGATTCCAGATGTGAGAAAGACAAAAGCATGCCACCTGCCTTAGAACAACCCTTTCCTAGAATTTCATTCTGTATTTTATATGGACAAGTGCAAAGAAAGAAAATACACACTAATTAACTTACCAAGGGAAACGATATTAATGGCATTTGCATAGCTTACAGAAGATACTTCAAGATATTTTTCTAGAAGAATTTCTACATCGCCTTCTTTGTTGAAGGCAGAAACAAAAAGCCACAAAAGTTGTGTAAATAACTTCTCAGACATTTCAGGTTATTTCTTTTCTTGGTATTAAAACATGCCTTGCTGTTAAATACTACTGTACTCTTATTACCTGCCGTTTCTTCGTTCTCCCTTTTGTAGACTGTCTAAAACACTTCTGAATTGCTTTCATATATCTAACTGAAACTTTCTTCTTATTCTCAACACAAGGGAGGAACTTTGTCCTTAAGAATTCAGTCCTTAAACACAAATAAGAAACCTTTATATCTGTTTGATACACTTATTGCTGTTTGATACACTTGTAATTATCAGTCCAACTTTCTGTGGGAATGTTCAAAGAATGTATGATTATGAATAAGTAGCCATGTAACTTTTTTTTTTTTAATCTCATAGCTTCTTTTAGCCAGATTTGGCTAACAGGCAAAGCTTGGCCAAGCTCCAAATGTGCAGGCATGTTGGGAAGCACGTGAAGAGCAGTTAATGTGTTCATGTATTTTCCAGGTTGTTGTCATAAGGAAACTGGTCTTCTAAAAATCCTACCTATGGTCTGGGTCTTTGTTTTGAAGGGTTCTGTTGTTTCCATCGGAATGACAGCTACAATTTGAAAACTGCAGTAGCATTTCACATTCAACTCTTTTTGCGATATTATTTCTTATTCTACATTTTAACATTTATGTAAGAGTTGTAATATTTCAAAATTAAAAACTGGGAAAATACATGTTTTGTACCTCTATGACCTATATCTGGCGTCAGTATCTTTTTTCCTAAGAACCAAACTGAAAGTACTTTTTAGGCTCCTTAAATGCTGAGGAAAATTGAGGCCCATAGATATTTAGGATCATAATGTACCTTCTTAAGGACTGCAGGGTAGCTCAGGGTAGAGAGCATGCTTAGTATATATTTGACCGGGGTTTGATCCCCAGCACACTCTCAAGACAAATGCCAGGAATGAATGCCATGTGCCTATTTCAATGTGTAAAATCATTCTTAGCTGTGGGCCATCCAACAACAGTTGGTGGCCATTGTCTCAGCCACCCCTCTTTTGTTCTTTCTTACAGATCCCATGGCTGGAAGTTATGGTGTGATGGGTGATGATGGTTCTATGGATTACACAGTCCACGAAGCCTGGAATGAAGCCACCAATGTGTACTTGATAGTGATCCTTGTTAGCTTTGGTCTCTTCATGTATGCCAAGAGGTAAATAAGGGCAGATAAGGTACCAAGCGTCCACGAGATTTAAAGGGATATAATGTGGTCGGTTGTTGTTGTTTTAACTGGATTAAATGCATAAATATATCTCTTACGAAATTGTGCACTCAGAAGGTGGATCTCTGTGAAGTCCAGGCCAGCCTGGTCTACAGAATGAGTTCCAGGACAGCTAGACAGCTAGTACTGTTTCGAAGAGAAACCCTGTTTTCAAAAAACAAAAGCAAAAAAAAAAAAAAAAAAAGAAAAAAGAAAAAAAAAAGAAAAGAAAGAGAAAAGGAAGAAAGGAAGGAAGAAAGAAAGAAAGAAAGTAAGAGTGTTCCTGGACTAAAAGGTGCTGTCTATGAAGGTAGTGGTAACTGAGGTAACTGGAAATCACATATTCAGTTCCAGGTAACAGGACCCACTGCTCTAAAGTATAGTTGCTGTCATTTCTAAAGTAGCCCAACTTTATCACCAGCATTGCTACATTGTCCTCTTGCAATGAGCATGCTTTAAAGTATTTTGGGTCCAAGTGTCTGAAATGCAAAAACTCTTAATGCCTATGCAGTCAGCAAAGCTCTGTCCACTTGTTTGACCCTTTCCTTGATTCTCATGCACAGCACTGTATTAGTTAGCTTCCTGTTGCTGTGATAAAGACCGAGACCAGAAGTGGCTTGCAGAGCAAAGAGTTTGTTTCAGCTTACAGGCCATAGTCCTTCTTGAGAGAAGTAACACAGGAACTCAAGATAGGAACCTAGAGGCAGAAACTGAAGCAGAGACTATGGAGGGACACCGCAACGGCTTGTTCTCTTGTTTCCTCATGCAACCCGAGACCACCCACCCTCTATTAGTATTCCGGCATCTGTGCTGGCCTGTCCTTGGGGTGCTGACAGGATACACCCTCAGCTGCTGCCACTAAGAGCACCACCTGTGCACATTCACTATGTTCCCTTTTAAAAGGGCCCTGCCCACCTCCCATCCTTCCTTCTCTCTCTCCCTTTCTTTCTCTCCTTCCCTCTCTCTGTTTGTCTCTCTCTCTCTCTCTCTCTCTCTCTGTGTGTGTGTGTGTGTGTGCATCTTTCTTTCTCTGCCTCTCTCTGTGTGTGCATCTTTCTTTCTCTGCCTGTGTGTGTGTGTGTGTGTGTGTGTGTGTGTGTGTATGTGTTATATGCATCTTTTTCCTTCTCTCCGCCCACCCCCCCCCGTGTGCATCTTTCTCTCTCTGCCTCTCTTTTCTCTCTCCCACTGCTCCTGTCCCTCGAGGCCCATCTCCTACCTACCTTTCTTTTTTTACAATCCTTTTCCCTTAATAAAAACCCCCTGCTTGAACTCTGTGGCGTAGTATCTTTCTCTTTCGAGCTGATTTTTAAAATTACAGCACCCACAGTGAATTGGGCCCTCCCACAAGAGTCATGAATGGAGAAAATGCTCCCACAGACTTACCTACAGGCAGTTCTTCATACGAGGTTCTGACTTCCCAGATGACTCCTGCTAGATCAAGTTGGCAAGAAATCAGCCCACTAAATCTCTATTCTTTATAAAAATGTCAATTCCTCGAGAACAAGGAACTTGTCTTTTATCTTTGTGTCATTGATATGCTACATGGTCCAAACTCTTAATAGACACAGTTCTGCCTTAATTTCCAGTGTAGCTTCATTTAAATGCCCTTTTTAACTCTTCTGTGTACTTTCACCCAAATCCAGCAAAAAAGGTAATAAGATTAATGATGATGGTGGTGGTGGTGGTGATGATGATGATGATTATGATTATATGGCTAGAGTGTATTTTAAAGAGGAAAATCAGTATTCTGGTTGTAGGAATATACTTTAGTACATTTCTCCTGAGGTTTTAAAAAACTTATTAAGTGCTTTATAATAACTAATAGTCCAGAAATAACTTCTGTTTGGACTTGGATACACATTACCTACTTATACTTGCCCTTGCACACCATGTAGCTCCTCTTAGTGGCTGGACCGCTGGGTATGGGTATAAGAAGGTACCACATGTCATCACAGATCCACTTGCATGTGACATCTTTTCTCTAAAAGAGCTGCCGCCTCCTTCCCACTTTTAAAAGCAGAGATGCACTGCTCTTGTTTCTAAAAAGATATCCCCCTGGAACTATGTCATTAAAGAACATTTTTATTCATGAATTTCCCAAAAGAAAGTCTGCTCACATCCGGTATATTCCCCACTCCAATGATTTGTCTTTAGCTGGATATTGTGAAAGAGGAAAAATGACATGCTTTCTTGTTTGTATATGGTTGTTTTTAATATGCCATTTTTTCCTAGGAGTTAAGAGGAATAGCAATAAAAGGGCCTCATCTTGATATATCGTTTAGTAATATAGTATCACATGTACTACGTGTTAAGCTTTTTTCCCTTGTGATGCCATGCTCTACATAGAGAGCTTATATGTTAGTGGAAAAATATACTTCACAAAAAGAATTTGTGTCATACTTTTAATGGATCATGAGACAATTACATAAGTTTTGAAACAAATCTGCATTTGTTTTGTGTTTTAGGAATAAAAGGAAAATTATGAGAATCTTTAGTGTGCCACCTTCAGAAGAAACCTTGTCAGAGCCCAATTTTTATGACACAATGAGCAAAATTCGCTTAAGACAACAGTTGGAAATGCATTCCATTTGTAAGTATGTTCTTTGCCAAGCTGTATACATAACATGTTTAAAATAGGTCTTCTATTGAGCTCAGTTAACAAAAGGTTACAAAACTTAAACCCTTTTCAGATGAAACAAGGCAGATTTATCCCAAAGTTATTGCTGTTAAGTATTTGGCCTTTCTGTTGCCTAAAGCCTTCTGTGACCTTGAGAGGTGATCATATTCTTATAAGTTTTTCAGGAATTGAGATTGCAATCACCATTTGATACCTCCATTTCTTCCTCTTCCAATTTCTCCTTCCTTGTACTTCTCATTGAAGTACATTGGGATGACACTGAAATGGTAAAACAACAGAACACCCAAGTAGTGTAAGAATGTCTTTCAGGATTTGCAAAATCAAGGTACAAGGCCAGAATTTATATTTGAACAATAGTAATATATTCTATAGTTCTGGTCTGCAAGCACGGACACAGGAAAAGAAGAAACAAATTTTAAAATGTGTAGGTCCAGAATCAACTGTACATTGAAGCCTTTTATGTCATTATTTAAAATATTAAGGTGTGGCTTCCATGGTAAATTAAGTTGGATAAGCAAGATGATACTTATTATTAGAATGCCAGGTTCATCTCAACTATCAACTTGATGAAATTTAGAACTACGAGGGAAACACAGTTCTGGGTGGGTCTTGGCATGGGGATGGGGGGTGTCCTAGAATAAGTTCCTTGAGATGGGAAAATTTACTCTAAATGTGGCATGGCATCATAGCATGGGCTGAAGTCAAGGACACAGTCAAAAGGGGTAATTTAGCTGGGTAGGAGCATCCATCTCTCTGTTTCAGACTGAGGATGCAGTGTGCCTGGCTGCTTGCCGGGATTACTACCATGTCTTCCCTGCCACGATGGGCTGCATCCTAAAACCATAAGCCAAAATATGTACTGCTTTTCTTAAGTGGCTTGTGTTAGGTATTTGCCATAGCATCAAGAAAGTAATACATTGTTGCAAAATCAAGCTAACAAAGCACTCCTTTTATTATCTCTCTATAAAGTAAGTACATGCACGTGTGTGTGTAATATAAGTACTCCATACAGTGAGGCAGTACACAGATGTGGACCAGCTTATTGAGCTCATATGCTTGTTGCTGACTGAGTTTAAGGCAGAAAAGGGGGACAGAGGGACAGTTCCTTTTTTGTTTGTTTGTTTTCCTTTGAGATGGTATGTGTGTGGTTTTTACTCTGCTCTTTTTCATTTTAGCTTTTAAAAAATTCTTCCTTTGAGAATTGTATATATATATACACACAAGTGTGATCATATGAGAAACAGTAATCCTCACTTCATACTAAGCATGCTGGAGTCTCAAAGTAGTGAAAGTGAGACAGATTTGTTTTTGGTATTATAGACACAAGGTATTAGACTGAACAAAAGGCAGAATGTGGCTGGCACACTGATTGGGCACAAAACGGTGGTTTTTATTGTATTTTCTGTTCACTTTGGTCTTTGTTAGGTGAATTCTTTAGGAGCATACAATCTTTCTAGTGTCTAGTATTTCTCCCTCACCAAATTTCCCATCCTGTTGGTTCAGGACATAGAGCAGCATCTACTTACTATTGGGGCTCAAGGTTCCCCCCTCTTTTGATATATAGACTCAGTTATGTAGCAGGCTGCCAGATGTTTCAGCTCTCCCATGACCCTAGAGCTCCTAGACAAGCAGGCACCAGCTGCTAGATGGGGAGATGGGCCTTGTGCCTCTGCTTATCTGTTGTTCCCCAATGAGCTCTGAATGTTCCTCGTGCTGGAAATGGACCGTAATGATGTATTTCCTAAATTCTAGTCCCCCTTTTATTTAAAGCTATTGGTCTTATTTTTAGATGTATTTTAACTTGTTTAATTGACCTAACATTTCTAATCCTACCATAGAACTGATAGTCTGTCTGGTCTAGTATCTAAAAGCATTAGATTATGTGAATGTGTTTTGGACATTTGTTTGTTAATTTTCTTTAAATGGGTTTTTGTTAAAAACTGTTTTAGAGGGAATAATGTGTCACTCTATTGTAGTTAGTATTTCTGCTGCAATTATAAAGGGAAGTTGGGAATGAAGCCATCAACCCACTCTATTTTTTTAATCCTTCAGCCAGTCTGTAAGGCTCATCAATTTCTGACTTTTTGTTAATTCATTGGCAAGGGTCTCTCCTTCAGTTGTTGTCTCCAGGTTCCTGCCTTGACTTCCCTTATGATAGATGGTTAGCTGAACTATACCCTTTCCTTCCCAAGTTGCTTCTGGTCATGGTGTTTATCATAGCAATAGAAAGCACACCAGAAATGCACATCCCCACTGCCTACTGCTGCCCCTTAGCTCTTCATTTTGTAGAACATAAGGAGGTTGGATTTTTTTTGTTTTGTTTTGGTTTTTTTTGTTTGTTTGTTTTTCAAGATAGGGTTTCTCTGTATTGTTGTGGAGGCTGACCTGGAACTCACAGACATCCATCTGCCTCTGCCTCCCAAGTGCTGGGATTAAAGGCATGTGCCACCAACACCCGGCAAGGAGGTTATAAACATGACAGACTATCCTGAGTCTTCCTTGTCACTTGTTGAGGGGAACATAGGAGTTAAGTCTCAGCCTTACTTCTCTTAAAAGTCCTCTTAGGCCTTGGGGAGAGACTGAGGTCTGGCAGATAGGACACCCAAAGATAGGGCAGAATGCATCTCCTACATACAGAGGCCGAGGGCTTCTCTTTCCAAATACAGCAATCCTGGAACATGTCCATCTCCCAGATTATGAGAAACAATCACCCTCACTTCATAATAAGAACAGTGGAGTTTCAGAGTAGCAAAAGAAAGATCTATTTTCAGTTGTGCAGAAACTGAAGTCAGCCTATATAAAAGGAAAAATATGGCTGTTGCTCCTATTTGGCACAAAACAGTGGCTTTTATATCCCTAGTTGCAGTTCTTTGCCTCTTTTAATTCTCATTGGTTGAGTTCTTTAGAGAGATGCAATCTTGCCAGTGTCTCAGCATTACTCTGTACCCCAATTCCCCATCCTATTGGTTCCAAACCCAGCTATATCTAATGAACATCTTGGGGCATTTTTAATCCTCTCCTCCCTTTGTATATGGGCTCAGTGAAATAGCAGACTGCCTATAACTTTTCACCCCAGACACGCAGGTGCCCGCTGCCAGCTAGGAAAGGTAGATGTCGGGGCCTCCTGCTTATCCAGGTCCTCTGGTGAGATCTGAACACACCTCACTCTGAAAGTGTACCACAACTCATTTCTTGCAACATGTTCCTCCTGTTCTCTCCAGCTCCCACAGTTCTCCCTCAATACTCCCCCTACAACCTCAAGTTCTCTTCTAAAAGCAAAGCAAAAGCCTAAGTCCAGTTACTGCTGACCATAATACGTGGGTATAGGGCTATCCACTAGAGCACAGGAAACCTTTCAGTGGCCATACCCTCAAAGAACAATGACTCTCCCTCCCTCAACAGCTCTTCAGTGAAAGGTGGGACCTTGAGAGCTCCTCCCCCAAAGATGCTCACATTTTAGTTGGCTTGGTCATGTGCACCTCCTGGGCAGGGAATCCCTGCTACTATGAGTTCATGGGTACCATAGCCATACTACTTCCAGAAGACAATATTGCATAGTACTTCTCCCTACCTTCTGTCTCGTATGGTCTTTCTGTCTTCTCTTCTGCCATGTTCTCTGAGCCTTGGCAGTGATGGGAAGTGTGCTTTTCAATTAAGATGTCCCATTTAGGGGCCAGAGAGACAACCCAGTGGTTACAAGCACAGGGTGTTGTTTACAGGGTTTGATTCCCAGCATCTACATTCACAGCCATCTGTAACTCTAGTTTCAGAGAATCCATCCCCCCCCTTTTTTTTTGTTTACTTGTTTTTTTTTGTTTTGTTTTGTTTTTGAAGACAAGGTTTCTCTGTATAGCTTTGTAGACCAGGCTGGCCTCAAACTCACAGAGATCTGCCAGCCTCTGCCTCCCAAGTGCTGGGTTTAAAGGTGTGCGCCACCACCACCTGGCCCCATTTCCCATTTTTTGCCTCCTGCACTGCACACACACATACATGCAGATTAAATACCTATATGTATTAAATAAATAAATAAATAAAATTTCGAGATGTCCTGTTTAAGCACTAGTCACTCATTTTTAGTACTATGAGCAGTTATGAGCTCCTTCACTGACTGTTGCCAACTGCCAAATGAAGTCTATAAAAGCAAGGTTGAGAGCATCCCATGTCTGAGTACAAGTATAAATTGTTAGAAGCCAGTTAGACAACCTGATCACTTAGCAAAAGCAGTATCAGGTTCCATCTTAGTGCTGTAATCTCCTCAGCCATGTGCTTTTGTCCAGGTTTACAGTACCACAGGTGGAGTAGACCTCAAATCCAACCAGAAAGTGGTTGGTTATTTCATCCATAATAGTCATGCCACTATTGCACCAACAGATGTATCTTTTTTTTTTAAAGATTTATTTATTTATTATGTATACAGTGTTCTGTCTGCATATATGCCTGATGGCCAGAAGAGGGCACAAGATCTCATTACAGATGGTTGTGAGCCACCATGTGATTGCTGGGAATTGAACTCAGGACCCCTGGAAGAGCAGTCAGTGATCTTAACCTCTGAGCTATCTCTCCTATCTCTCCAGCACCCCCCCCCCAACAGATGTATCTGGTCTGACAGGTCAGTATTGTACCAAGCAGGATCCAACATGGGGTAAGACCATTGATGTCTTAATTGCCCCCCGCAGCACGCATAGTATCTTCAAGAACTATGGAAGCTAGCTGCTAAGGAGGAAGTTTTCCAGTCAGTTTGAGGTTTACTTCTGTGTTCTGCAGCTTGAATGTGGTGTTTTATCAATTGGGTCTTGTTGTGTAGTTACACTGAGTAACCAAGGGCAATGACAACAACCTGTGTTGCTTTGGAGACTTCTGGGGCCAATAACTGATAGGGCGGTATCCCACTGCAGTTTTGTTTAATAACTCATGTCAGGTGGCTGGCAATGCTTGCCTTTAATGACACACTCGGGAGGCAGAGACAGGCAGATCTCTGTGAGTTTGAGGCCAGTCTGGTCTACAAAGCGAGTTCCAGGACAGTCAGAGCTGTTACACAGAGAAACCATATCTCAAAAAAACAAGATAGATAGATAGATAGATAGATAGATAGATAGATAGATAGATAGATAGATAGATAAAATAACTCATGTCTTCTGGGAGCATCGTTGTCCACCCATGCAGGGTGCCTCTATTCAAACTTTTTTCATTTTTACAATTGTATTTTGAAATTATCTGACTAACTGGTGGGTTTTTATAAGACCATTTCATATATCCTTAGTTTTGGTCACCCCACCCCCTATTCCCTTCTCTCCTCCATTGCTCTGCTCCCTACCACCCCTGCCTTCCTTCCCATGTGTTCAGCTTCCCTTACAATCATATTTTTAATTGGATTGTGAGATACTAGGTTTCCATGTAGCTTTTTCATATTCTATCCCTTTATGTTAACCATTCTCCCACTCCATCACCCCCTCCCCTCATGCCCCTTCTTGCATAAGCCTTTCTACTCTCACCCCAGATTCTATCACTCTACTTTGGTTTTACCTAGAATTTACTGCCACTCCTTAATGCGCCATTCCCAGTCCAGAGTTTCTGGTGTATTGGCGTCTACGTGTGCTCCAGGCTAAACACACAAAACAAAATGTTTGAAACCAGGCTGCACACATGAGAGAACATGTGACATCTGTTTTACTGGGCCTGAGTTCCCTCATTTAGTATAATTTTTTTCCAGTTCCATACATTTCCCTGAAGATTTCATGATTTTATTTTCTTTACAATTGAGTTATTGGCCCAGAAGTCTCCAAAGCAACACAGGCTGTTGTTGCCCTTGGTATCTCAGTGTAACTACACAACAAGACCCAACTAATAAAACACTATATTCAAGGTGCAGAACACAGAAGTAAATCTCAAACTGACTGGAAAACTTCCTCCCTACCAGCTAGCTTCCATAGTGCTTGAAGATACTATGCATGCTGCTGGGGGCATTCAAGACATCAAAGGTCTTACCCCATGTTGGATCCTGCTTGGTACAATACTGACCTGCCAGACAAGACACATCCATTAGTGCAATAGTGGCACATTTACAACATTCCATTGTATAAATGTACCACATTTTTACTATCTATCTGTTGATGGACATGTGGGTTGGTTTTGTTTCATAGCTGCTGTGAATAGAGTGAAAGTAAGTGAACATGGATGGACAAGTGTGTCTGAAGTTATGCCCAGGAGTGCTATAGCTGGGTCATATGACAGTTCTATTTCTAGCTTCTTCTGTAGACTTTCAAGTTAAATATAGTAAAAACAAAAAGGTGGTAGTATCAAATTGCTGAAAATAAGTTATTATTGAGTACTCAACCCTAAGTGGGACATCGCTACCAACCTCCTCCCACAAGGCTCAGCAATCATCAAGGAGGATGGATGGGTGGAAAGATGGTAAGAGCCAGAGGTTAAGGAGAACTGCAAAAATAATGCTTCCCACATGTAACAGGATGTTGCACACACGAACTCACAGTGACTAGTTGCCTGCACAAGATCAAGCTGGTCAAAATTCCAGGACAGATGGGTGAAAGGTGCAGAAAATCCCACTTCTGGCAGAGGAGATGTTGACAGTTATTGATTGCTAATGTAGAGAGTCAGTTTCTTTCAGGGAAATGGCCCCGATAGGTTACATGTGATTCCAAGGGTGGCCCCACTGCTATGCACATTCTGAAAGCACCAATTGAACTTCGGGGATTTAAAAAAAAAAACAAACAAACATGAGAACCTGAAATTGGAAAGGAACTGTACAGTGATAGGAGAGTCTGAGAGAAGCTGGAGTGGAGGAGCCACGTTATGACCAAAGTACATTGTATACATGTGTATGTATATATGAAATTGTCAAAATGTAAATAAAAATATATTTTTAAAAGGTAGCAATATAGAGTAAGAAAGAAGGAAATTTAAAACTTTACTACCTTACTCAGTTTTTCCCTGTATTTTAAAGTTCAGAATGATCCTGATATTTAAGTAATTATAAAGATATCTATAAATAGTGTCAAAATTTGAAGATCTTAGAATAGAATTAACTTCCTCTAGAGGAAAAACGGTTTTTTAATAATTATAAACTAATTTCTTACCAAGCGTCATGATTTAATTGTGATTTAATGACATTAGCTAGTAATTATTTTATATCTTATCTTTCTTGTCATTGTTTCTTCATAGCAAGAAAGTATGAGTACCAACAACCACAGAGCCAAGCTGACAGCGTGCAGCTCTCGTTGGAATGAAACTTCAGACTCAGCACCTGAAGTGACAGTGAAGCAGTGTGGCAGCAAGTTCCTAATCCCCTCCCTCAATCATGACCAAAGGCATTTAATAAACTTGTCACTTCAGGTCATCCCACCACACCAACCACACCCCCCCACCCCTGCCTCGGTTTTCTTTTGCTTCTTCTAGGGCTTGCTGCATAAGTACAAAAACGCTTAGAAGGAAGATGCTCTGTGATTAGAGATGAGGGCCTTCTCTTTTCAGGATCTTTGATGTCTTCAGGATACATCAAAAAATATAAACATGTCTTTGGAAGCAAGAACCCTATAGTTAATGTCACTGATTAGAATATTTTCAGAGTTAAATATGAAATTCTAGCTATTTGAGGTGGTTTGCTGTTAGGTTGTGCTCTGTGATGATGAGTTTAACATCAGTAACAGACTGATTTGTGTTGCTTTCACTATCGTTACTGGCTCTGAGTTGGTGACCTTTGCTTCACAACTTGTGTGACACACCACTGAATTTGTATTCTCTTCTCCATCATGAAGCATGGCCGGTCTGCTGGTTGTAGATGCGTTCTGTAACTGGGTTTGCTTCCCTTTGATTGTATCCCCAAAAACTTGTTATTTTGTTTCTGATCGCAAAGTCCCCTTGCCTCCATAGGGCTCTTTGAGGCCATGCTGTTAGACAAAGAGACATCTGTCTTGCTGTTGGCAACTTACTTTCCCATGTTTCTGTCACTGTTGAAAGTTATTGTCTGGTGTCTTCTGCATTTTAAAGCTTTGTTGAAGACCTACCTGTCTTGTGTCATTCTGTTCTAGACAATGGAATAGTTTTTCAACCTAACTTTTCATGTTTAGTCTCATAAAAGCTGGTTGGAGGTAATGGTAGAAGAAAGGCAGAATTCAAACTGAAAGCTACAGTCCTGCTGCCTTGATGAGTGCAAGGGCCTCTAGAGAAACCAGAACAGAGGCAGATAGCACAGAAGGAAGTGAACTACACAGGGAGACACACCACAATCTGCTTGTAAGTATTACTGAGTTAACAGATGATCCCTGAGCCAAGTCTAGAAGGCAGACTACCTGGAGCCTGGTAGAGAGCAAACAGCTAAAAGACAACAAATACCTGAGCAGCCTTCAGCTTTGTCCTGCCACACACACTACAGTTTGATTCCTGCCGAATGGGTTGCCTGATAAAACAAGCATAATACTTCAGCAGAAATTAACAGAGTCAAGGGACTCTACACCATATTGTTCTTCATGTCCAGTATAAAACAAGAGGCAAGAATGGGAAGAACGACATGAGACCCAGAGTCAAGAGGAAAATGTGGTCCACAATCAAAAGCAAAAATGACTAGTACAAATGGGATTTCAGAATGCCCCATATGTCAAATCAACAGACAGGACTTGAAAGCAGCAATGGTCCCTTGCATTCTTAGCCCCTGGTGGCATAACTTCAGGGGTTCTCAACAAATTAGATGAGCCACTAGCCCCAAACATACAATGAAAAAAATTGTGAATGGCTGGAAAGGAATTTAAGATATAGTGGTATTAGAATCTTCAGATGTGCTAGCATAAACTTCAGGGTTAAATAGAGGAAGATTTGGGACAGGAGCCGTCTCAACCCTGCACACACATATGTACTTGTGTGCATATATACATACATACATACAAACGGAATAGAAAAAGTTTCTTTTAAAAAAAATCCAAGTTATAGAGAAAGACCTTGAGGTTGAGGTATACTCAAGGACACAGAGGTCTGTAGGTGCATGGAAGATTGAGGAGCATGAGTTCAGGCCCGAGATAGGCTTGGGTTAAAGTATCATCTGTCTCCTGCCAGGTGTGCTTTGTGCCTCATTTAAGAAATTGTACTAAGTATCAAGTGCTCAGGGAAGGTGATGGGATGTATATCATCTGTCATTTTTATACTTTAAGTTAGTGTATATGACTTATGTCAAAAACAGATAAAGGCCATAGGGTAGGAGAGAAATGTTTGTGTGACATTAAAGGACAGAAGCTCTTTACTTTCAATAGCATAAGGCAGCAGAACTTGTTTATACATCACACCAAGCACTCCTGCCAACCATCTCAGCCTTCCTTCCAGCCTGTCTCCATTCCTTTCTGTCAGCCATGAATTCACAGAAACACTCTCCCCAGGGACTCCCCGTGGCACACGGGGCAGGCAGGTACTCAGTGATGTTCACTATCCTTCCTGTCCTCCATTATGATCCCTCCAGTCTCTCAGGCCTATAAGCGGCTTGCTTGGGGAAGCTCTTCTTCCCTCCCCAACTCCATTCACTGGGGAATCTTGATGCAGATTCAGGGTGCCCCTATCCCTTTCATCCCTGTCTATCCAGACTTAACCTTTGTCCTACTTAAGCCTGCTTGCAGGGGTCTGCCCTCCCACCACACTTGGGGCTGTAAGTCTTGGTGGAAACACAACCCCTCTAATATATTCCCACAGCCCCCTCAGCCTTTCCTCCTGGCCCATCTCCATTTCTTTCTGCCGCCTACCAACCTGCAGAAGCTCTCTACCAAGGACCCCCTCAATCACCACACTTGCCTAGGATCCAGAGAGGGCAACAGCAACCAAAGACCAGAACAGCCACCCAGCAAAGAAGACCAGATAGCAATGCCAAGAAACATCTCAACTATCATAACTTCAGATGCTTTGCCTCTGCCAAAACCAAACATGAACAGCCAAGACAGTTCACTTCCCTCAGAACCCAGTAATCCTATTACAGTAGGTCCTAAGAGACACACTATAGGGGTTTGAGGTGCAAGATAGGGGTTTCAAAATAACAATTATGAACAAGGTCAAGGACCTTAAAGAGGACAAGAATAAATCTCCCAATGCGGAGTGTGACAACACAAAGAAACAACTGGATGAAATAATGGAAACATTTCAAGACCTGAGAGTAGAAATAGAATCACTGTCTTAGGGTTTCTAGTGCTATGATGAAACACTATGACCAAAACAACTTGGGGAGACAAGGTTTATGTGGCTTACATAGCACAGTCTGTTGAGGGAAGCCAAGTCAGGAACTCCCAACAGGGCAGAAACCTGGGGCAGGAGCTGATGCAGAAGTCATGGAGGGGTGCTGCTTACTGGCTTGTTTCTCATGGCTTGCTCAGCCTGCTTTCTTATAGAACCCAGGACCATCAGCCCAGGGATGGCAACATCCACCATGGGCTGGGAACTTCCACATCAATTACTAATTAAGAAGACACCCTAGAGGATTGATTACAGCCCAATCTTGTGAAGACATTTTCTCAACTGAGGCTCCCTCCTTCCCAATAGCTCTAGCTTGTGTCAAGTTGACATAAAAATAGCCAGCACAATCCCTAAGGAAAAAACAAACTGACACAAAACTGGAGATGAAAAATTTAGGATGTCAAAGAAAAACAGAGGTATGAAGCCTTATGAACAGATTACAAAACATAAAAGAGAAAATCAATTATTGAAGAACTGATTAGCTTGGCCAAAGAGAATGTTAAATCTAAAATAACCCAGACACAAAACATATAGGAAATCTGGGTCACTATGAAAATATCAAATCTACAGATAATAGAAGTCAAAGAAGGAGGAAAAAAACAGGTCAAAGGCACAGATTCTATTTTCAACAAAATCATAGAAGAAAATTTTCCAACCCAAAGAGTTGCCTATAAAGGAACAAGAAGTGTACAGATACACAGGGCCAGAAGAGAAGTTTCCCATAGTACATAATTTAAACATTTAATGTATGGAATAAGAAAGACTACTAAAAGCTGTAAGGAAGAAGACCAAGTAACATGTAAGGGTAGGCCCACTAGGATAATACCTGACTTCCCAAAGAGACTCTGAAAACCAGAAGGGCTTGGCCCAATATTCTCCAAACTGAGAGACCATAGATGCCAGCAAAACTATCAATCACAATAGGTGGAGAAAGAGAAACATCCCACAATAAACCAAATTTAAGCAGTAGCTATATCAGTCAAGCTCTGCAGAAGGTACTAGAAGGTAAACTTCAGCCTGAAGAGGTTAACCACACCCAAGAAAACAAAAGTACATAATCTCAGACCAATAAATCAAAAGGGGGAGACCCACATCATAACAAAACACAGGAATCAATATACACTGTTCATTGATAATTTTCAGTATTAATGGCCTCAATTGCCCAGATACAAAGACAGACTAGTATATTGGATTAGAAAGCAGGTTTCATGTTTCTGCTGCACTCACGAAACACATACCAACATCAAGAATACATATCACCTCAGGGCTGAAGAGATGGCTCAGCGATTAAGAGCACTGACTGCTCTTCCAGAGGGTCCGGGTTCAATTCCCAGCACCCACATGACAGCTTACAACTGTCTATGACTAAAGTTCCAGGGGATCTGACACCTTTATATCAGTGCACATAAAATAAAGCTAAATAAATTATTTTTTTAAAAAAAGAATAGACATCACCTCATGGCAAAAGGATAGAAAAGGGTACTCTAAGCAAATGGACTCATCTTAGTTACTTTTCTATTACTGTAAAGAGACACCATAACCATGGCAATTTATGAAACAAAGTTAATTGAGATCTGGCTGACAGTGTCAGAAGGTAAGTTCATGGTGGGAGTATGGCAACAAGGAGGCATGGTGCTGCAGCTGTAGCTGAATGTTTACAACTGATCCACAGCAGGAAGGAGAGAGAGAGAGAGAGAGAGAGAGAGAGAGAGAGAGAGAACTAGCTCATGCTTGGGCTTTTTGAAGTGCAAAGTCCACCCCCAGTGACACACCTTTTCCAACAAAGCCACACCTTGTAATCCTTCCTAAACTGTCTACCAACTGGGACCCAAATATTCAAATATATGAGCCTATGGGACCATTCAAATTCAAACCACCATGTTCCACTCACTGCGCTCCACAGGCTTGTAGCCACATCATAGTGTCAAGTGCATTTAATCTAACTTCAAAAACTCCCCATAGTCTGTAAAAGTCCAAATTCTTCTCTGACTCAAGGCAATCCCTTACCTATAGGCCTTTGTAAAAGCAAAAATTAAATACTTCCAACATCCAATGGCACAGAATAAACATTACCATTCCAAAAGGGAGGAAAGGGTATAGCTCAACAGAAAGTGTGCTTAGCATATTCAATACCCTGAATTCAAACTGCCGCACCCCCCAAAGTGAGGAATAATATGCAGCAATTTGAATGTGTGAGATCACTCCCGTGTAACTATTAAAAGCTAAAATGATGATTTTGCTATAATAAGTATGTGTTGAACAAATTGGTTGTTCTTTCCTGTGATTACTCTTTATACAAAAAAATACACAAATCAGTATCTCTGGGCTACTTATAAAGTACAGGCTGGGCCCTCCCCCATCATCTACAGCCTGATCTCACGGAGGCATTTTCTCAATTGAGGTTCCCTCTTCTCTGATGACTCTAGCTTGTGTCAAGTTGACACAAATCATGCTATGCTTTGGGTGTGGCTTGTGTGTTCCTGCAAAGGTCACATGTGAAGTGTTGGTCCCCACCAAGGTAGAATTAGGACATGGTGAGAGTTTTTAATGTGTTGAGCCTAGTGGAAATTCCTTACATAAAGTGTGGTCATGCTCTTGTAAGGAAAGGCTCCCGCCTCTTTAGGACTTCCTATTTGAAGACATAAGACCTTTCCCCTCCCTGTCACTGTCATCTGCTATAGGCCCTCCCCAGAGTCCTTGAAGTTTGGACAGTCAGCCTCCTCAATTGTGAACTAAATAAGCCTCCTTTCCTTTTTTTTAAAAAAAGATTTATTTATTTGTTATGTATACAGTGTTCTGCCT